TAAAGTTGCATTTGACAGTTATACACACAAACACTGTTAATAAAAGCAACTTCTGAGGCACAGAACTGCTACAGATGGATCAAAAAATATTCAGGAGTAATAAAAATGAGTGAATGACTTGTTTCTGTTGTTACTGCTCTGACTCATGTTTAAAAAGCCTTCAACACTGCATGTACTTGAAAGTTTTTAAAGATACTTATAAAATATACTGAAAAATAAGCCCCGTTCACACATGTGCTGCTTTGTTCTTACAAAACCAGTGAAATTTGCTGTATGAAAATTTGCTGCTTAGGTTCTGTCTCTCTTTTCCTTGGGGTGGAGGGGGGACTTTTGCTAGCATACTTGAGATTTTAAGCTGCCTATATGTCTCCTTTCAGCTAATCAATATCTCAAGAATCGTTCTTTTTTTAAAAAAAAAGGGAAGAAATAAATTGGTGTGTAAAACATCAAGCCTTGAATCCAGCTATTGAACTAAGTAATTGGTTTGAATAAATATCCAAAAATTCAGAATTATGATAGTACTGTATTATGCTATGAAGTTGGCAGGTTTAATCCTACATATTATTGTAAAATTTCAGAGGTCAAGTAATCATCAATACTATTCCACTTCCTACCATACCCTATTTCAGTTGTCCCTTCGGATATTTTTTTACCCATTAGATGAGCATCCGTTAGTCTTACAGATGCTGCTGAACAAAGCTCCCCGTATTTCTGTAACATTAAACATAATTTAGTCTGCTTTTTAGCTGACACCTTGCTTTGTTATTAACAAAGAACAATTCCTCTTCCAGTTTCAAGAGAAATGCACATAATCCAGTGTAAGTATTTAAAAGCCTTAGTAATCCAACAGGGAAATTAAGCAGTATCTTAAACCTGCATTATTAATGCCAGATTGTAATTCTGGTCACTGAATATTGGATGTGGATCATCGATATTTTCCTCTGTATCTGAATAATTGCTTCACTTGGATTACATTTAAATTTGACTTAATCAGGACTCAATCCAGTGGTTTAAACTGAATTATAGTATTGAAGCAGTTTGTTTTCAAGATTTAACACTCTGGTTTTCCATAAGCAATCCCTGATATACTAATACAGATATTTTTCCATTTTACAAGTATATGGGACACAGCTACGTATCTCATTAATTCGGTTCATCAACTATAATTTCTTCTGAAGATACTTTTGGGACCATCAGCCTCTTTGGAGGCTACTTAAGCTTTTAACATTAATATGGAGACATTATCTAGAAGTTTGGGCTGAAATGTCAAGTACACCAATGAAAAGCATAATATCTGCTCTTTTACAATAATTTGTTTTCTGCAGGTTTTGATGCTGCTATAATTTAAATAAGAAATAAATTATGGCAGTATATTTTGAGGAGTTTGTTAAAAACAGGATATTTAACTCAAAGTGTTCAATTCAGAGAACATTAATCAAACCTAAATAAAACATGTAAATCCAGCTGAAATATAAACCTAAAGGTTGTCATACTAACCTTTCCATAGATAATAGCTTTGGCTCTTCCTCCTCTTAACATTGGACTTACATTAAAAAAGGAGCTTAACAAGCAGAAATAAAATGGATCTTTTTTCTAAAGATCTATTGCTCAGTGAAAGAAAGCTGTTATTTCAGACTGGCTTGTTGATGAACCAAGTGTTCTCATCAGGCTGGAAAAAAGCAGGCACTGCCCTATCACGTTTAATATACATGTAAGTGGAAAGTTGCTATGGAAGCTCAATACGGTCATACTGGACTTCAGAAGATGATTCATTTCTATATCCAATTGGCTAATTTGGATTAGGAAATCATTGGGTTTATGCTACCCAGTCAAGATTTTTTCAAGAACTCAAATAAGAAATACGCTCTAACAACCATGTGGATGTAAGAACAGCTGCTGTATCAGAAGACTGGAAAGGGAATCAATGCAAAACCATTTTTTAAAGAGGCCAAGTAATTGAACATTTGCTCTGAGTAAACGGAGGGGAAATAGGTTTTAAATGATCCAGCAAATAGAAGGATAGAAAATGAAGAACGGCACGGCTAACTCTTGAGTTCTGTCAAAGTGTTAACAAATAAGGAGTGGGATGATCTAGCTAAGCTGGAATGCTCATAAAGGAAATAAGGAAATGATAGAAATACAGTAAAATTGTACAAGAAGTGAGCAAAGCAGCTAGAAAGAAACATTCATAGTACTGCAATTCATGTAATCCAATGAAGATAAATGGTGGGAGAGAGAGATCAGGTAACAAGAAAACACTTCACACAACACACAGTCAAACAATGGAATTTGTGAAGACAAGAAGCGATGATGGCAGTTGATGTGACTGAGCAAATCTGGAATGAATACGATGGCCAGTGACAACTAAGTGAAATGGCTACACTACCACCTCCTGTAATATTTGATTTGACTGACACCCTGCCGTTCTGCCCTGGTAAATACTGAAGGCCACTAATAAAATTGAAAACAAAAAATATAAAAATTTAGAAGTATAAATTAACTCTCACATAATACTAAACTAGCAATTAAAAGCCTGGCAAAGCGTATGTCTCTGTTTGATCCCTAATCTCAGGTGTTTAGACAATACGCACAGTATGTTTCTCAGTACACCTGAGAAAAGGGGACAAACGCAAATCCCAAGGGGCTACATAGCATACCCTGGAGGGCAACGCAAAGGCATCTCTCTTCTGCCAGAAAGACGAGTCTTCAAGAGGGTTTCTCCCCTTGATCTTAAAACTGGCCGAGCTCATAATGGGAGAGGCACCCCTTTACGCTGTTCAGGATTTTAATGGTCAATGCTAACACTTTAAATTGTGCCCAGTAAGCAATAAGTAACCAGTGCAGATTTTGTTAGTAGAAACATCATATGATCCTGTACCTCACAGCAGAAAGCAGCTTAAAGGCAATCTACCTCTGAATACCAGTTGTTGGGAAAATATAAGGAAGGTGCTATATTTCTCTTAAGCATTTGATTGGCCATTGTGGGAGAAGAATTCTGGCCTAATTAGATTTTTGGACTGAACAGCAAGGTTGCTCACCTGTCTCCCAAGATTTACATTTATAAGCCTATGAGGAAAAACTGGTGCACATTTTATTACTAGGTATTTACTGAAACAAAGAGCCAGTTGGTGCAGTGGTTAAGGCACCAGGCTAGAAACAAGGAGACCGTGAGTTCTACTCCTGCCTTAGGCATGAAAGCCGGCTGGGTGACCTTGGGTCAGTCAGTCACTCTCAGCCCTAGGAAGGAGGCAACGGCAAACCACTTCAGAAATCTTGCCAAAAAAATTGCATGGGCTCATCCATAGAGTCACCAGGAGTTAAGACAAACTCAAAGGCACACAAAACAAGTCCACATTACAGGTAGTCATTGACTTACAGCAACAATTGGCACCAGAATTTCCATCTCTAAGCGATACGATCGTAAAGAGTGACTGCATCGCTTAGCGCCAGCAATCCCTGCAGTCCCGACTGCCGTCATTAACTATCCTAAGGCGAGGCAACTTCCTGCCAGCTTCCCAGAACTAAAGGCAGGTAAGTGGCTGCTGCCGGGTGGAGCAGGGAGTGAGGTGCGTGGGGGGGGTTGGGGATGGTGTGAGGGGTGCGCAAGGCACCACACGTCAGGGAGGATGCATGAGGCACCGCACAGGTTGGGGAAGATGCACAAGGGTACGAGGGGGTGCACGAGAGGCACCGCATGGGTCAGGGAGGGTGCACGGGGGTGCGGCCCAGGTTGGGGAGGGTACGTTGGAGTGTGAGAGTGGCGTGGCATGGCTCGGGGAGAGTATCTGTGGGGTGCACAATTGGCCAACGAGGCATGAGCACAGAGGGACTGGAGGAGGGTGTGTGGGTGTGGGAGACTTACCCCAGAGAGTTGTGACCTTCCTTGCTAGCTTCCCCATTGACTTTCTGGGGAAGCCAGCAGGGCAGGTGGTAAATGATGATCACTTGATCGTGGGGCACTTGGCAACTGATTGTACGTATGGATAAGTTGCCAAGCACCTGGATCGCGATCACATGACCACTGGGGTGCTGGGATGACCAGAACTCTGACAACCGGTCATAACCACCATTCATTCAGTGCCGTTGTAACTTTGAACACTTGCTGAACAAATGATCGTAAGTCAAGGACTATCTGTAAATACATCCACATTTATTTGAGATATTTGAGGTATAAGCTATGCTTATGTCTGGATGCTCATACCACTTACAAAAATAATCCCTTTAGTATTGGTAATCTCACTAGCCTTAGAGGAAAATGTTTGGCCATGTATATATACTGATTAGAATGTTAACATTAAATATCAATACTACATACTTGGTCTTGAGTAATCTTGCTGAGTTTCAAAAATCTTGCTAGCTTTATCTAGGCTGTATGACAGTCATGGATATGATGTGCAAATGTCTATTCCATATCACTGAGACAAGTAAAAATGAAGAATTTCTATATTAGGCTGCTACCCTATTGCAGAAGGGCTCCATGGTTGTCAAATATAAGTAACATCAAGATTAAAACATGGACACCAGTTTCCTTTGTAAAAAGTCAATATATAAATATGTTCTTGTTACTTCTTATTTCAAAGAAATATTGTATTCAAATGGCACAGCATTAATATAAATGTGAAAGAAGCCTACTAATGTTAAGAAACACTGAACTGAATCTAGATAAATTGATACTTCAGGTAAACCGACTGAAATCATGGGTACTTAAAAAATGCCCTGACTGATGGTTTGACTCTAAAATTGAGTTCATTTATCATACTAAGCTAATCTTAACTACAATAGAGTTTAGCACAATTTGTGAACTAATCTGGATCAAACCCTCTGCTTCAAAGCCTAGGTATCAACATTTGTTGACTACTCTTTCTTAGTCTACTTTCGTGAGAAACTGGAACACGGAACATTTTTGCAATATTTTAGGTTCTCAAGTATCCTGACAATTATAGGTATCCCATTATTTCCAAGCCTTCTCCTCATTAGAAACATTCACACAACTATTTGGATGAGTTTTTCTTCATTTTATTTGTCCAGATGTTCAAAGGGCTTAACAATGGATGCTTGACTAAGTCTTTACACAGCCATCTTTCTCTTAACACTGGAAACAGGAATTGTGGATAGATCCACAACTACAGTATTTATTTTAAAAAAAGATGCAGAATATCACAGGAAATTGAATAAACAGATTATTCACTGTAATTCATGGGCAAGATAAACTCAGGCACACAATAATGAATTTTAATCCTATTTACCGCTCAATTAAAGGCCGATATTGTAATTCTCTCTCAAACTGTTCTGCTGTGAGGGTTCCTTGGATAGCTTCACAGCCAGGATTAAATACAGAATATGCACTTTTTTCTCCAGGCTGCCTTTCCCTAGGACCACGAGTTCCTGCGTAGATCCAATAAAACATAGACAGGACAAAATATGGCAAACCAAATTCCAGTTCCACAAACAGTCCAAGTAGGACCATCCAGAGAAGAAACTTGAGAAAGACCTCATTCTTTAGTACATAATGGGTCCACCATGGCAGAGGAGATGTAAAGACTTGGGCTTCATGCCTTTCTGATCTTTGACTGGATTCCTGGGAAATATGATAAAAATAAAATAACTGGATTATACATGCAGTGGGTGCCATGACCTTGCTGAAAGCATAATAAAAGCAAACTCACAACTTTCTCAGTTTTTGCCTTTCCTCTTAATCCTTTCATTCTTCCTTCATATATTTGTTTTCAAGTGTGATTTTCATTCAGTCTCTATACAACCAAAGTCATTTCAATGTATTGTTTTTGTACTAGTCATTCATTTTTGTATTCTAAAGTTGTTATGCCTTAGATACTCCAAGATACAATCTTCCATATGCCGTCATCAGATACCAGATGGGCCAACAACTACAGACTTCCACCACCTATCAAGCCATTGATATTTTCACATAAAACTTTTAGTAAGGTATAGACTAAGTTACCAGCCTTAGGCACAACTAACACACACCATTTCTTGTTCATTTTATTAATTAGCAATGAATTTTAGTTGTGCTCACTAACACCCTGCATTGGAAGCGCATTATATCTGTGCTACAGGACCTGCACTGGCTACCTATAAGCCTTGGGGTGCAGCTTAAAATGCTGGCTTCAACCTATAAAGCCCTCCATGGTAACCTTCAAGACTGCATTCCCCAGCTGGAATCAACCCAACCTGCATTTGGGGCTGAAAGAATCCCTCCCCTTTTCCTCCAGAAAATCCCACAAGTCCTTGCACCAGAAAAGTACTAGCAAGGTTTTGTTCAGCTGCTAGCCCCTTCCACACAGCAGGTGTGGTTTGGTTGGCTGCTGTGAAATCTGTAGAGGAATGGCTTGGATTTTCAGCCTTTCTTACCCTTCAGCTCTTTTCTTGAAAGATTGGGTAAACAAAATGAGCTACTGTACAGACTGGGTTCTGGTGTTCTCATAGCACAGTTGCGTGGGTGGACTTAATTTTTCCCTGTGCAAAACTGGCTCTGTTTTTCAGTTAAAGTTAACCTCAGAAGTTAGTTGGCTGGGCCAACTGACCCCTTTTTGGTGTTCCCATGATACACTGATCTCTCCATTGACGCAGTTTAAACATGTTGCAGGGACAAGGTCAATGTGTGGGATTAGACAAAAGAAGGCCCTCATCCCAATATTTATTTGTCCATAAAAGTGAGTGGATGCCACTGGAAAACAGTCACGTTCATTTTTTGGAACAGCACTTCTCAAAAAAAATTTTCCTGAGAATTTCTTGAAAATTGCAGGGTGACTACAGCATTAAACTTAATTACCTTTTCTTTCCTACAACACAGAGGTCATAACTTCTTTTTTCTCTTCAATGGCAGAATTAATATCAAATTCAGTGTCCTGTTACAGAAAGTACTGGACCTAAGCTAGACTACCAAGAAAAACCACCTTAAATAGTAATATTTCATTAGAAGTAAATATATAGTACTAGCACTGAATAATGAAAACAACCAGCCTTAGGCCTGGTTCTTGCCTGCCTGTTCAATAACCATGGGTTATTAAAATGACCATGAGCTCTTTTGTCAGAGCCAAATTAATCAAGCACAAGGCTAAATTTATACACTTAACTATTCAGCATCCTCTCAGCAATTGATATAAGTAAACTCTGTGGACTATCAGTGCCCCTAAATTGCACTTTCAGAAATTCTGATTTAAAATTTTACTAACTTGTTCTTCAAGCAGTGGCCTCTCACAGCCACTAATAAAAATTAAATATAATAACAAAACAAGGCCTACAAATACCAATGCCCATGATGTTGGGTATGTGTGTGTGTGTGTGTGCACATGCCATGTGCATTATGATGCAAATGAAGCCATTTCTATACTTGTATCAGGCATCAGAATTGTATCACCTGCAGACTGACATCATGACACACGTCACAATTTTTTATATAATACTGTGGCTTGTTCTGAACCCTAATACCTATAGAAGTCAGACTAAAATGGTGCATAAAACTAGGCCATCTAAGATGTCTGGGCAAAAGACCTCATAGTAGGCATTAGATCAGCTTTTCTTAAAAAGCATGTAAGAACTGTAACCCACAGCTGATAGGAACTACCAGTATTCAGTGCCAGAAATCCCAAGGAACTGTGCAACCTAGCTGTTTTCACAAGTACAAATAGTCCCAATTCTTTCTTACCATTATAACAAACATTTAGAGCGAGAGTACTATGATGAATGAAATAATCTAGTTGTACTAAAAAGATTCACATCTGGCCAAGCTGCTCACCACAGGCAAATTATTAGCAACCAAGCTTATCCAACCTCATAGAGTTAGAGTAGAAGTAAAGATGAGAGTCTTGCCATAATATAAGAGTATAAAATCACAATAAAAATACAACAGGGAAGAACAGCATCAAACTCTTCTCATATCTCTGGATGAAAGGTAGAATTAGCAGAAGCCCCTTTGCAAGAAAAAACAAGCATATGTGCAAATGCAGAAGAATTGCAACTTTTCCTGACCTCTGGCACTGCAATTTCCAACTAGAGGCTTTGCAGGGGGAATCAACAAAAACTCTTACTGCCATAGGAGAAACCCAAGGGCAAAGACCATTTCAAAAGGTGGCAGTACCTGGCTGACCTCTACTGATCCTGAAAAATTAAGCAGGGTTGGACCGGGGTTGTCCTGGAGGAGAGACCACCAGGAAATCACGGAGCTGGCTGGGAAACTAAAAAAAGGTCCAGCAAAAATAAAAACGTGTACTACGGTCTAATGTCCACAACAGTCACCAGGGACGGGAGACTTCTAAGGCAGATCCAAGGTCTTTGGGGAGGGCTGGGAATTAGACAAGTCGGAAGGACACCGCGTTGTTGGAGCTATCTCCAGGAACAAGGTTTTGGTGTTAAGGTTTTCAAATACGCAACACCGCCCCCTCCACGTACGCAGAAAAAGTGCGGCGGAAAGCCAATCCTAGGAGAAGCCGGCCTTTGGTAGCTCCTCCGGGACCTGGCACCCGGGCAGCTCCGAAGAGTGGGCGGCTGGGAGGGAAATAGCAAAGGCGGGTTTGGCAACCGCCCTTCTCGGGGCCGTAGAAGCGCACCGACCTCCGTCGGAGGCTGGGCCGAGGCCTGCTCCCCGGCCGTAGTGGCGGCAGGCTTTCCCGAAGAGGGTGCAGCGCGTGTCGGGGGGCGGGAAGCCCGGCGACTCGCCCGGAACTCGGCCAGCCTCCGCTCCATCCCGCCGGGGCCGCCCAGAGCCG